TGTAAACATTTGGGATCCAACTTAACTATTTCACGCTTATTTATCTGTTACCACTGACAACTCTACGCAAACCCCGCTGCTCTCAGTCATTAATTGAATGCCATCTGCCACTGCGTTGTCCGTGGTGAGAGGCTATGCTTGAAATTAGATATTCTCGGCACGCACTTGGCACTATGAATCTCGTTATATTGAATTCCCTAACGATTTCCGAAATGGAATGTTCCATGTGTCTAGCCTCGTCTACCTTTCCACGTTCAAAGTCTGTTAATTCTCGTCGGGAGGCCATAATCACGTTAGAAACCTTTTCTCTTAAATGACGAGTACAAACGAAATCCCTGCCAATGTACTACCTTTTTATAATTTTTGAACGCGAAGCTACTGCCATCTGTATAATTAAATATAATATATCCCATAAATTTTTCACCTCGGTGTTCTTCTATTGGCATTACAAATTACATGAATATTACTTCATGTGGCTTTACAGATTATTAGCTGAAGTACAAACGTTCATTTATGTTATGACTTCCTGTCATTGATTATGTAAATTAGATACTTAAAACTATTTAGAAATAGAGCGGCAATGCTCCATATCATAAACTGAGTCATTGTGACATCTTACAGAGACTTTTATTTGAAACAGAAGTTGTTTTTAGGTTTCTTATTTATAATTCTCTCACATACGTCATATATACTTTTGTAGTTTTTGAAGATAAATAAATTATATCAAATGAATAAAAAATTCAAGTATTCTTATGCGTCTCCAGAGACACTTCGGTGCAAGAGGTTTTACAATTGAACCCATACAGACGACAGACTGAAATATATTTGTAACAATGTGATTACACTTAGCTAAAGTGTAATTTGAGATTTGTAAGTTGAAAATGGTATAGAGATAAACATGAATACATTTAAAAATTTATTGTCCCAAGAAATTATAAGTTGATGTAAAGTATAATCTGAATATATGATTCTCGAAATGGGTAAAGATTCTGTGAGCCATAGCAACTACAAGTGTGCGGATTGTCTCATTTGATTAGTTACTCATTCTAGATCTCGGGGTAAAAGTAAGAAATTCTATGAAAGCTTTACTTCATTGTCTGAATGTCTCACCTTAAGGTGGATAGCCTGTAGTTCGCCTCACTTCCACTTCATATCGTTTTCTATTGTTCTATATTCGATGCATAAATACTTCGTGATTCAGTACAATGTAATTCAGTATTTGAAACAGTTAATTTACAATTAATGTGAAATCACATATGCGACGGACCTAATATGAAACATTTGTATATAAATACCATTTTATTAATATCGGATATCGAAGCAAAAACTAACGTTATGTGTAACTTTTGTCACTGTTTATTTCAATAGTAATGCTCAGTCTGTTATAATTCTATTAAATGTGTACGAGAGAATATGTACAGCATTATCTCTCTTACCAATTGCATTGTGTAATACGATATTTCTCAATCTCAGATAACACTCATATGTGATGGCGGCCACTCATCTTCACTACCAGTAACATATTTCAAGCGCCGCCAAGGGCTTACGGATCAGCAGCGTCAGGGGACTGTTGTCGACTGCAATGGGCTTACGAGTCACTGCGGAATTACGCAGTGGATGGGATAAAGGTTGTAAAACAGCAGTAGTATTAAGTGAGGGCCGTATTACTTTGTAATATTGTCTGTAATACTAATTGCACAACGTAATTCTAATGTAGTCTCTCTCTTCGTGTAACTTTCATGTGAAAGAATTAATAAGTGTAGCATGAAAGACTCCGGTTTTACTGTATGTTGATGTTCATCGAAGAGCTGACCTCAACTGTAGGGCCACTAAAAAACAAAAATATTTTCTATGTCACGTTCTAGTGATACGTAGATTTTGCTTCTACACACCAGAAGTTTTATTAAAATGTGAAGAAAACATTTATATTGAGGTTTGTGTTGTTCATCACTATTTGAAAATGTATACATTTTGAGTAACTGATAAAAAATATTTCTAACATTTTACTAACATTTTTACACGAATGTACAGGATTTTTCAATACATTCTGTTTTGTTTACAAATCACCTTTTTGAATTTTTTTCTAAAAACATTGAATGAAAAGAACGAAATAATACAATACAATGGAACATGTTCTGAATATGTTTTGTATATTACATATTGTTTAACAGGAAAATTAATATTTTGAAGTGTATATGAAATACATAGTCGATTGATTGTTTTTTCATATCTCTTTCACGTTGAAACATTGTGACAAACATAATCAACTCCAATTTATTCTGCCCTATTTCTTCCAAATTACATATTATAAATACCCTTGTTAGCAAAATCTTCAAATAAAGATAAATGTGCCATCAACGTAAATCGAGAAAAACAACTAGAACCTACAGTTCTGGTAGCTAGTTTCCTTTCATATTGCTTCATCGCATGCGACGAAATGCAATTACGGACTGTTAATATTGGCATCCTCTGCTTATTTTAAGATAATAATGCTGTATTAGATCTATTAGGTTAGAATTCAGTAACTCATAACGCAATTCTATTAACTAATCCTCCCTGCTCCAACAACTTTCCTCTCGCCCACCTCTTTGTACATCTATCTCCCTCTCTCCGCTGGATATTATTGGATTTCCGTTTCATCGCACAACAATCCCCTTCGAATTATTTGTGCCGCAAATTGACGTTGCGTCCATGAATGCTGAGCAATTTGAAAACGGGACGTTTGCTGTCGTGCTCACAATAATGCGCGCCGTGGTTCTCCCCGCTCCTTCGTGGCAGGCCGTTCGTGGACACGTAGAGACTCGCCGAGGCGGGAGAGGAGAAGAGGAAGGTGGCAGGGAGTGGAGAGAAGGGTAAATAGTAAGACAGGAGAAGGAAGTGGGATAGGATAGAAGCAGGTGAAAATGTAAAAGGAGAGTGGAAAGAGTCAGACAGGATGGTGATGGAGACTGGGGGAGGGATAAGAGGAGAGAATAGATGAAAACATAAGGGAGGAAGAGGAGGTAAGGAGAGAGAGTGCGATAAAATGATTGTGAAGATGATGACGAAGGAGAGGAAGGCAAATAAAACGAAAAATTCTGAAAGATAGAGAGAACGAAAGAGGCATGCGAAGAGGATGGGAAAGTAAGGGGAGGTCGAAAGAGAAATTTAAAGAAGTTGGTAGTAAAAGACAAGATAAGAGAGGTAGGGGAGGAGGGAGGAATGAGGACAGGGTGGGAGAGAAAGAAGGGGTGAGATGGGAGACAGAGGTGAGGAGATGGGAGGGGATGCAAGGAATGGATGTGAAGAAAAGGGGGAGAGAGATGAAAGCAAATTTTAAAAAAGAAGTAAGTGCTCAAAGGGGAGAGTTGTGAGGGACAAGAAAGGGGAATAATTATACGGTAAGGGTGAGAATAGGAGAGATAGAGGAAGGACAGGAGAGAAAAGGAATAATGGGAGAGTACGGGTGGAGAAAGGGGGTAAGGGAGATGAGAGTAAGGAAGAGGATGGGAAAGTAAAATAGACGAGGGAAAAATGAGAGAGGAAGGGAGAGAGATCAGAAGGGGGAGATCGGCGGCCTCAGTGACGCTTTCTATTCTATGCGCCATGAAATTCGATTTCCGAGCGGTTTTATTATAAGGGATGTCCGAATCCATTACTGGTTATATTTCACCCCGCGCAGGAGGGGCGTGGCCACCCCGCGAGCGGTGGGGGGGGGGTGGCAGTTGGGCACGTCGACAAACGCGGGGAGCACAAAGACCATGCCTGTAGACAAATAAATGTGCGAGTGTGCGCAATAGAATACAGCTGAAACTGCGTCCAGCTCAACTACGTTTACCCCTTTTTAGAGGGCCTAGAAATATTATACTTGTACATCGCCAAGTATGCTCATCGAAGTTTAAACAGTGGTTTTATGGGTTTTGGATTGCTCTCAGTTGACTGTCGCCGGGTAATTCTAGGAGTGGCTAGTACAAGCGAAATGTGCTTAATGCGGTGTTGATATTCGACGCAAGTCAACGCGTGAAAATAGGCGAACGACATGTAAAATGTTACTCAAATGGAGGAAAACTTTACATAAATGGTTTATTTGATCAATTGATAATGATTCAAATAAGAATTTTTCTATCGTAAATTGTTCATTACAAGACGTAGTATCCAAATGCAGAAAATAAATATTTAAAATATTCAAGGAAAAAAGAATGATCTTCTCAGATTTTTCTTGCACATCCAAAAGAATGTATCATCACGCTATTGTTCCTATTTGATTCATTCATCTTTCTTCCAGTCGTTAAGAAAATAAACTTGATGCGCTCGTAAATAAACAACTACGAATGAGAACATATTTTAATAAATAAGAGTGTTTCACACATACACAAAATAAAGTTTGTCACGCTTAAAGTTTTTATTATTAATATTTACAAGATAAAATAAAATTTTACTTTTCATATGCCCGAGTCGCAGATCTCTTCAGGGTTTCTTGAATTAAAACTAAAAAAAGTAGTCATCCTTAGATTGGAATTTCATAAATGTTCACCCTAGAAGTACTATGAAGGTCTGAAAATCAAGCAAATAAAACTGTAGGAATATGTTGTCTTTAATTTGCTGATATAGGTAATTAAATATTCATATAGTTATAAATAAATAGCCAATACTGACACTACTTAGTTTGTTCCTTGTACTATATGTTTGTTCGCACGATGTGTTTGTATAAAAACCGGTGTCGCCATGAAAGCTATAAATTTAATTCAAAATCAGAAAAGTCCAATCAAAATTAGTTGAGATATTAATTTTGTGAGACTCTCTTTAGTACCCAACGACCAGTATATAGATTCACCCCAGATTTCTGTCTTCCTTAATGCCAGAGCTCCTTCTTTCTCTCCGTTAAAGGTAACTCCTTCTGTCCTGTTTGCGCCTGCTACTCCTGCCTGCTCCTCATCTCTTTAATCAACACTTAATTAATTACGAGGAAGGAGTTGATGTAGTAGAACGTGTTTATGACGGTGCCCGTGCCCTTGTTTCAGGTCGAGAACGCCGCCCGCCCCCACAGCCCCAGCTGGCCCGCTGCTCTCGTCCTGCTGATCGCCTCGGAAACCGATTCAGAAGCTGTCTCAAGATCTCTCCGATTGACCCCAGGCTCGCCGAAGAATCCCATAGTCTTAACGCGATTTTCCGAGTGCACCCGATTCACTTCGTAAAAACTGAATTTCCCACACGAGTAATGCTCCATGTCTGCTGTGTATTAATATTTAGCGAAATGTTTCTGCCAGTGCTTAGCTATTTCTTGTACAAAACCGCATCATGTGGTGAACATTTTTCAAAATGATTACTCATTCAGACCTTTGAAAGTTGTGTTCTGAGACACGAGGAACGCGCTGCACTATAGTTTTCTTCTACTGATGGTCAAGTTTGTCACAATGAATCCCGAATACGCTGCCCTCGTCATGGGCGCCAATACAACTGAGGTGTACGAAGATCTTCCAGATAGGCCACGGTGCGGCGATACGCCCGACCCGCGCTACGAAAGTAGCGTCTTAAACAACATCACCCTTGCCATGCCGGAATGGGAAGCGGCGCTTACAGCCATTACCCTCTCGCTCATTATCTTGCTCACAATCGTGGGGAACATCCTAGTCATTCTCAGCGTCTTCACGTACAAACCGCTGCGGATCGTCCAGAACTTTTTCATCGTGTCGCTTGCCGTGGCCGATCTCACCGTGGCTATCCTTGTGTTGCCGTTTAACGTGGCGTGGACGATTCTCGGCCAGTGGCACTTCGGCATCCACGTGTGCAAGATGTGGTTGACGTGCGACGTGCTGTGCTGTACCGCCTCCATCCTCAACCTCTGCGCCATCGCTTTGGATCGGTACTGGGCGATTACGGACCCAATCAACTACGCACAGAAGCGCACCCTTAAACGCGTCTTGCTCATGATCGCCGGGCTGTGGCTTCTGTCGGGTGTTATCAGCTCGCCGCCTCTCATCGGTTGGAACGACTGGCCGGACGTTTTCCAAGAAACCACGCCGTGCGAACTCACGCAACAGCAAGGGTACGTCGTGTATTCTTCACTGGGTTCCTTCTACATCCCGCTGTTCATCATGACGATCGTCTACATCGAGATCTTCATCGCGACGAAGCGTCGTCTGCGTGAGCGCGCCAGGGCCTCTAAGCTCAACGCCGTGAAGCAAAACGTCGCCTGCATGAACCAATCACAGGCCACCACCCGCGACGCACAGGTATCCCACGATCAAGAATCCGTCAGCAGCGAGACGAACCACAATGAGCACCCGCCTCTGGTGGAGACCGGAAAGTCCAAAGACAAGAAGCGCAAGGGGAAAAAGAAAAAGAAGAACAAGGACCACGACGACAGCCACGCCAAAGACAAACACCACCTGGCGCCGATGCTGGTGGCAGAAGATTCCGTTACCGACAACAGCCACGATCCTCCTTCAGCCACGCCTGCAAAGAACTCCCAGAATCACTGCGGCGGAGAGGACGGGCAGACCACGACCACCACAACCACCACGGCCGGAGACTCCCCTCACTCACGGATCCTGCCGGTGACCGGGCAGTCCGCCGTCCCCACCGCCCCGTCGGCTGCCGTCATCGGCACGCTCACCCCCGCCACGGCGGCGTCCGTCGCCCCGAAGAAGGGCGTGCCGGTGTACGCCTTCATCGAGGAAAAGCAGCGCATCTCCCTGTCCAAGGAGCGTCGCGCCGCGCGCACGCTCGGTATCATCATGGGCGTGTTCGTCGTGTGCTGGCTGCCGTTCTTCCTCATGTACGTCATCCTGCCGTTCTGCACCAACTGCTGCCCTTCCAAGAAAGTCGTCAACTTCATCACGTGGCTCGGCTACATTAACTCCGCGCTCAACCCCATCATCTACACCATCTTCAACTTGGACTTCCGGCGCGCCTTCAAGAAGCTGCTGCACATAAAGCCTTAGCAGCTGACCGCCCCGCCGCCGGCGTCCTCCTCGTCACGCTCGCATCGCTCGACCACGTCCACGGCTGCCAGCAGCGGCAGCAAGTGAGGCGGGCGCGGGGTCGGCGCCGCCCCCGCGGCCCCCCGCTCCGCCGCGCGCGGCGCGACCCCTCCCCCCTCGTTCGACCCCAGGCGCCGAACGGGCGGGGGACTCATTCCTACCAATACTCAGCCTCACTGTGCAGATGTTTGCTATGTGTACTGTGCTCTGATCATAGGTGTGAGATATATGTCCCGAAAGCTGGTGCCCGTGTTTTATGTACTCGTGTAAACAGATGTTATTCCGTTTTATTTTTATTTTGTTTTAATTTTTTGTTCTGTCCCTTCGAGCCGTGCGTACCGGTGTAGTGTCCAGACGGGTTTGCTTTATCCTGCAGTGTTCTAGTCTATCCAGTTAACAGATGTCTCTACAGGTCTCGGCTGAGGCTTTTCAGTGTTCTGTTCGCTAAATGATGTGCCACAATAGTGTTACCATATATGTTAATCCGCACTTAAGACATTGGAGAGATAAATGTCATGGACAAAAAAGGTCATAAGAGAAAAATTGAGGAAGGAGCAATTTAGAATTCATATGACGAACAAAATAATTGACGATTCAATAACATGAACTCTCCAAGAGGAACGTTTTCCACATCACCATGTTTGTGGCAATAAGCGGATTTCTGGGATACCGCTTGCTACAATTTTATTGATCTTGTATTACAAAGTGATAAGTTCCAAGAAGGAAATTTGTTGTTCTTTGTCTTTATAAAATTAGACGAGTTCTTAAAATAGTATGTTATTTTGACAACTTCGTATAGGTAACATGAAAATGACACACAATGTAATTTTGAAGAAAGAAGTAAACAATTATTATATTAGCTGTTTAATGCCAAATCTCAGAAAAATATCGGTATGATATATACCTATGATCCAGTTACAACACATAGGTCAATATTATGTATATATACTATTATGTCGTAAGGCTGTTTGAAATCGTGTCTCTATGTACACATATATACATGTGTGTATATATATGTATATATAAGCAGCAGTCCTTAGTCTTTCCTCTACATTCCACCTGCGTGTGAGCTCAAGTGGCGGCGGGGCGTGGCGGAGCGTGGCGCAGTGAGGCCAGCCGCCTACGCGGTAGACCCCTAGTGGACCCCGCTGGACCCCTGGCGTTGCCCTTGCGGCGGGCCCCGCTGGACCCCTGAGCCCCAGCC